CCAGCTGTAGGCAGTCGAGAGTTGTGTACTGGGATTCCATGCCGGTGGCATGCTGCCATGCCGAAGCATCGCCACAAGCCGTGACCGCAGCTGTGACCGACACAACCTCGGAGCTGTATGCCGTTGGTAGCGAGATTCTTGCTGCATTGTAGCTGCAGCTGACAGGCCCAACATGAATTGCGATGCGGAGGCTTTCCCGATGCCGACTCCGTGCAAGAAGCCCTCTGTGCAATGCTTTGCATTGGAGTCCAAGTTGCGTCACAACTCTCTGCCATGGCTGCAAGAGCCGCGAGGGACCTGCGAGCCCCATGCAATGGGCGTCTGGCACGCTCTCCTGGTAAACAAGGTTCACCCCGCTGCCTCTGCCACTGCCACGCATTCTGGCAAGCCCCGAGGAATGCATTGCACGCGATGACGTTAAGCTGGAGGAGTCGACGCCGAGCGGCACGGAGCAGCGACCTTACCACAGCATGCGGGGAACCCGATCAATGTGCACGCCGTAAGAACGCCCAAGCCCCATGAAAGCCCCGAAGATGAAAATCCCATCCAATGCTTGGGGAAGACACTGCCGGCTCCCACTCAGCTGCTTTCTCGCAGGCACTGGTGCTCGCGGCGCAGGTGACGATGTTCGGGTTCCTGAAGTCTCGACATCGGGTTCCACAGGGGCCGAGAACCTCGTCTCCTTCACAGTCGAACCATCACTACGGCACAGAAGTCAGAACCGAAGTCCCTTCACAAGGCCGGCATTGGGTGCAAGTGAGTTGCAAGGTGCAGCTCTCGGCATGCTCCTGGTTGCTGTGGCTTGCAATCGCTTCCCTCGTGCGCTCAATCAAATCTGTTGTTGAAGCAGGTCTAACGGCTCAAACCGACTCAAACCATCTCTAGCAGCTACGCCAACCCAAGTCGACCTGGTGCCTGTCGGAATAAGCGCGGGCTTAGGGGAGCCCCTGGCTTTGCGAAGGTCCTGCAACTCCAGCGCCCAGGTCCACTGGCCGGCCTTCTCCTTGCCAAGCAGTGGCAGGCTCCGAGTTGATTCGTTTGATACATCAGACGTGCCCAAAAGTCTGCATCCGGCGCTCGATGAATGTATACAATCGACGACAGACTCGAGCTATTCATTACTCTGTTTGTCTCGAAGCAGGAGCCACCAAGCCAAATGTCACAGCTAGATGCAAGTTAGTGTGCCCGAGGCAACATTTCGGCAAGACACGCAAGCGCTGATCGCAGCATTGCATGCGATGATGTTGGGCTGAATCTCTGCGTCACCTCTGCAAGACATCCCGAATCTCACACTGTAGACGCTGCTGCGACCACTCAATTTGATGCAGCCCAGCCGCTGATCTGGCTGAAGAGCCTCAGAGCCATCTGCCATTGCCGTGACTTCTCGCAGCAAGAAATCGCTGCAGCATAGGTCACCTGAGTACCCTTCGGACCTCACTGACCCAGAACAGACCTCTCAAAAACCTTCGTATCCGGCTTGAAGTATGCAACCAGTGCCGATAGTGGCAAGAGACAGGGAGGTTCAGCTTGTGGCAGAATTGAGTCGTAGCAAAGGTTGAAGGTGCAGTATCAGAGCACCCCATGCAAAGGCAAATGAGCAAGCCGAAGATGGAAAACATCACGGGACAAAATTAGAACATGCATACCTCAGCGCGAGACCCGCTGATGAAGGCGAGCTGCAGAAAGAGTTACGAAGGAAAGACTCATTCTAACTACATTACTTTGGCGGATCATGGCCATGAAACTGAGTTCGCAAAAGTGGCAAATGGAGGGTTGCGCTTCTAGTGGGATTGCACCGGAACAGCGCAGGACAACAAGTGAAAACCACACATGACATGGCAACAGCCGCGGCTCTGCAACTGCTTCCACTCGAATATTGCAAGAGCGGGTATGTAGCAAGGATTGTTCCTGTATCACGTGTAGCACACTGTTGTCTGTTTCTGCGGCTTTCTGTGCAAAACCTATAACCGATGTAAAGCAGTGTGAACTAAGGTGAATTAGTTGATAGAATCATACGGGCACAAAACAGGATAGTGAAGACAGCAATACAGTACAAGTAATACCCTCACGCCCCGTTCGCCCAGAGACTGTGTCGCTCGAGCTTGGGAGACCTATAGGTCTTCGTTTGAAAACGGAACGCCAATGGACCATAATTGCAACAGGCAGGTAACTTTTCTGGCGATGCTTGAGGCTCTGTGCAGCCTAAGCCTGACGCATGGTCTTGTTCGTTCTTCCGCGTCTTCCGCAGCTTGCTAAGCGCTTGTACAATCTTCCAACTTCCAATGCTGCACATACTTGGACACCACAAGTAAGCTTGAAGTACAGCCGTTCACTCCCGCCGTCCTGGACATGTACCTACGACCTACCCATGCTAGCTTTTGGACGAAAGGGCCGAGGCGCAACACTTGGCTCTAAACGCCCAGTCGACAGCTGCTCCAGGAAGGCCACGGCCCCCCTGGTTCTCAAAAGGGGACGGAAACCTTTATGTGCGCTTTTCGATGTCATACAAGGGGTACTCCCTCAGAAATTGATGTTCAGTGTGAAAGCATTGCGCGTTGGCTCCCGATTCGCCTCCAGTCCGCAGTTTTGCCGGCACTGATGGCAGCATTGACTGCCACGGTGCTTGTGCGTAGGCCTGTCAGAAGAGGCCGGCATGTCCCTCTGTAAAAGCAACTGCTGATGCTAGCTCATTAAGATTGGCCCGGAGTTCGTGAGGCTGTGGCTTAGATGCTGCTCCTCAGACCGAACCCTGAGCCTTTCGGGAGAGGCTACGTCTAGTGGCCCTACACTCATCCTTTAGACCACCACTTTGTTTGCCTTCGTGGAGAAGCTGGTCGTGCAACGCATAGGCCTGAGACCAAGAGGCCGTGGTAGATAGAAGGCAAGCAAGCTCATCTCGCAGATGGTGCAGCATGCTGTCGGTAATTCCAAGGACTCAAAGTTCGCCATGGCACTGCGGAGATTCCGCGAGGCTTGAGCTTGAAGCTTTGCACAGACACCCATAGCAGTTTCTGGGCCACTGACCTGCTCCCACGCTTGGCCCTTCTCCGCAGCGCTTATGGCCGCTCCGAAGGACACCACCGAACCTGCGAGGCAAAGAACAGAACACAACTGCCTGGGCGCTGCTCGACTTCGAGCAAGGCTGCCTTCCAGCTCTCGGCGTCGCAGCGTCTGGAGGGTGACCTCGGCTGCCGTGCCGATCCCCTTGAACTTCACCCCACTTTGGGAGCTAGGATACAAGCAAATGTGGGAGAGCAGTTGTCAAGTCACATCGAATCAACCAGTGTCTTTACTGTCTCCCTGACATGGGTCTCGCTGCTGGAAAGACTGGAAAGACAACCAGCTAGTCAGCAAGATCCAATAGGAAGACGAAACACGCCCCAGAGAAATAACTCCGACGGTGCCAAGCCCTGAAATTCAGGAATCCGACCCTTTGAGTCTGTGAACCTGCAGTTCCGCAAATCCTGCATCTACCTGCGGACTCCGACAGTGTGGAACAGTTTCTGAGATGCGTTCCAGTGTGCCTCGGCAGCAGCCCACCGTCCTCCAAGACCCGATGCGGCTCTCACGGCTACCCCGGCCGACACCTGCGGCAACAATTAGGACTCGTGGGGCTGGGGACGGGTTTTCATCTCGGAACTACCTAAACCTAAACACTCGACGTGAGGCATCCCTCTGTCACAGCCCTTGACAGGGATTGCGGAAGGCCTTTGAGCGACCAGGCAGGAGAACAGGCAACGCACCAGACGAGCCAAGAGCTGACACTTCATCGCATGCCGTGATCTCAACAGAGAACCGGCCGAGCTTGGAAAGAGGGTGATCCGAAAAGGCTCGAGACTCCAACAACATCAACCTACAAAAGCTGCTAAAGCCCAATGTTCGGGTTGTGCCTCATCTTCCTCGAGGCCGTGGGCCTTGAGGTCACAAAGCCCCTGTGCCCACTGTTGAGCACGCACCTGGCTTTCACGGAACGGAAGCTTCCGAGGAGTCTTCAAGTTCGAGGACTTCTCAGACTCTCCTCTGAGGGACTGCTCGTCGCGTTTGTGGCCGAGGCTGCGGCAACGGCATTGAGCACTGCATTGTGGGTAACGATGCTAGGCTGGAGCTCCTACGCAGCCACGGAATGACAAGAGTCAACCAAACAGAAGATCACATTCGTAAGAAATCAAGCAGACATGTCGTGTGTCATGATGGTCTAGACCTGCATGACAGCTCGCACGCGGCAGCGATTGCCCCCCAAGCGGTCCTCGCCACGCATTGCAGCAACGGCCTCTTGTCTGTCACAGGAGCTGCTGAAGCAGTGACACAAGCAGCCATTGTAGCTCATGAGGCAGAGAAGCTGACAGCTGGGATTCTTTCGTGAGAATCATCACCGCTCGGGCTTAGGGACTCCAACAAAGCCTGGCCTGGCAAGCTTCTCGCCATGACTTCTGCGCCCCCAGCTGCGAGATGCGCTTGGTCCACTCCTGCCATCAAATGTCATCAAGTCATTTCGGCCGGATGAAGGTCACAGTAGCCAGCATCTTTGTTTGGTTGAGGCTTTCGTGTCCTATTGCAGCGTGTCCTTCCTCGCGATAACATCGCTGGAAACGGCATCGAGAAGCATGCCGCCGCCATCACTGGAGGCAAAGAGCCCCAGCGGCTTTTGCAAATTCTACGCTTTGATCCCTTGTAATTTGGAGGGCCAGTGCGGCATGAGGGGTGAACGACCAAGCAGCGACTGCTTCATACTGCTGCTATGTTCGACTTCCCTCTCGAGAACACGTGATGCGACTAGGACTATCGGCAGCTGCATGGGCTTAGTCTTAGCCTTAGCTGCCTGCCATCGCTGCAGAACTTGGGTTGATACCAAACGGCTACTCGCGATCTCTCGCAACGTCGCAGCCATTGCCGTGACAGTCATGTTAGATGAAGCTCCGCAAGCGATGTTTTCATTCCCAACCCGTCAATGCTACAGTACCAGGCAAGAGCACGAAGACCTGCAATGCCCACGCAACATTTTAAAGATCCTGTTCAACTTCGGCCGAGTGGTATTCTGTGCTGGTCTCTGCGCCAATGACCCAGCCCCAATTGTCCTTGGCAGTATCAGCACAAACTACATCCTGTGGCGCCGTGCGGCAAGTGCGAGTTCCGGCTCTCGTTGCAGCCAGGCGGCAGCGTTTCTGCTCACCTCGGCAATCGCCCTCCAGACTCTCTGTTTACTCTTACCTACCCACTGTCAGACACACGACATCCTTCAGCGGGGGGCATAAACACAAATTCTGCCGTGCCTGAAGCGGGTCGATGCCCTGCATCTCGAAAAATCGACCGCGGTGGAGTAAGGACCTGCCAGTAACTCTTTCTACAGTGAACTCTACGGCCCCTGTCAGAGCGGTCCAGGGCTCGCGAACTACAGTTTCAAGTGGAGCTGTTGGCATTGCGTTCTCGCTGAAAGAAGCTTAATGTGATGAGCTGCACGAACGTCTCACCTCTTCCAGTCCAAGTTGCCACCTGGTCTCCCCAAAGTGTGGGGACACGAAGACACCGTTCTTCTGGAAGTGTCTGCCGACCATTTGTGGCTCGATATGTACACCATAGAGCTCAGCACTGATCACCAGCTTTCCGAGACCTCGCCTAAGGCCCATGGAAGATGGCCGGCCGTGGTAAACCAGCCGCCAGCGGAAGTGCGCCACCTCCGAAGCTCTGAACTTCTGCCAGTGTTCGCCAGGTGTTTCTTACCAGGTCCTCACCCGCCTCTGCCTCGGCGATGTGCTGTCTTTTGCTGTCCAGCTCGGCATAGACGTAGCATCGTTTCCTTAGCGCGAGGCGCTGTCCTCGCCCGACTTCCCTCGGACTGCCGACAGGTCTCCACTTGCTCGAAATCCGCGCCGTGCCACTTTGGGCTCCTGGAAGTATTGGGTTTGCTTTCGCCGCACGTATGTTCCGCAAACGCATGTCCAAACTATTCGACTCGAGTGGTTGATGCTTTTGTGTGACGAATGTTGCCAATACTAGCGCACGGAGCTTGACCATTGCTCCCAGCATGCATCAATGCCTTGCTGAATGGCCAGCGGCTTAGAAGCCTGACTGTATCTGCAAGCGAAAAACACGTTGGGCCTGACAGACAGGCTGACAGGCTGCTTTTTGTCTTACAACCCCGAGAAACAGCTCGGAATAAACACATTTCGTGCTCACAGAAACAATTTCTGATGTTTCTGGTGCCGAGATTCAGCTCTGTGAGAAACCGGGATGGCAAGACTGCGAATTTTTGTAGATTCAAACATGAAAAGGCTGCTCACCAACAACTCAGGATCTGCAAATTGCATGGGCCACGGTGCATGACATGTTCTGTGCCGTGACGCATGCAATACTCCAATCTTCGACCCGTCCTCGCCAAAAACAATCGGAAGCAAAGAGACGGAGTGAAAGCTCAGACCCGATTCTACCTTCATTCTATTCTACTTGTATTCTACTCTGCTTTTATCCTATTCTGCTACTCCTGGGACGTGCGGGTTCGTCTCGTGAAGCGCGCGGAGCAGATCCGACTTCTCCTCAGCGCAAGCAGACGGACGCGCGCCAACGGCCGCCGCAGGAATACGCACTAAGTAGCCGAAATAGCTACCAGGTTGTGCTAAGTTGCGGTGACATGTGGTATCTGAATGTCCCGTCGTTGGAGGAGGGACTTGCACTCTGCCACGGAGAGCTTCAGGCCAGAGTAGTCGCCTCCGTGAACAGATCTTCTGACTAGCGCAGAGCGGGTGCTTTGGAATTCGGCGAGAGGGAGTTTCTGGGCCTGACATGGGGTCTGTGTCCCGTTTCGTCGCAGAGTTCAATGTCGCGATCCCTGTGGATGCTCTTGCGGAGGATCGCTGAAATATGCTGAAATTGAAAGTCGAGGACTCTGCGATGTGTCTGAGGAGGCTACGTCCATTCATTCTTAAAGCTTATACTTTCGCGGGCCGACAGCTTGCCTTGCGCCAGGGTCGCCTGCTTGGGAAGAGCCCCTCTGTACCCGACGACCAGGACACGCTTTGCTCGCTGCGCATGCGACGCTGCACTTCGGCTGTGAGGAGCTCCCTGTCTGGATCACTGGTTATCAAGATGAGCCAGTCTCAGGGAAGCCCTCGACAAAAGGAAGGCACAGGTCGCCTTGCGTGAATTCCACGGAGGCCGCTTCCAAAGGCCCCCCCTGCTTCTGAGTGGGGCACTGGAAGTGGCGAAGCTTCAAAGCTAGAGTCATTGAGAAGGTGTAAGCTCTGCATAAGCACTGCAAAACTTGGGAAAAATCAATGCCCTGGCTGCGACTGCGCTCCTGAGCCTCCGCATCTCAAACTTGTGTATCGGTGGATGTTCCTGCTCCTGTCTCTGATTCCTCCGATGGCACAGCGGTGTAGACGGTGTATTCGGTGCCACCGCGGCTTGTCGTGACGGAGCACGGCTTCTCATCGCATGGCAAAGCGTCCCGGAGCTCTTGCATAAAGCTTCTGAAGTCCCCTGCGTCCAGCTGCTGGCCTGTATGCCTCAAGAAGAACTCCTCCACGATTCCGCTCTGTCCCTGCAAGCATTTCTGCGCATCCTTGGAGGCACGTGCTACTGGATTCACAAATCCCCTTTGTGCTGGCGGTCTTTGTGAATCCAAGGATTCCTACGAGTTGTTGGGGCGTGTACCGTTACGTGAAGGATGCTGATATGAAGAAAAAGCAACCTTGCCTCGAGGGTGTTCATGTCCAAATCCTTGTCCGCCAGGTCGTTCTTGTTCAAAAGTTCGATCTGGTCCTTGGTTTTTTTGAACTCTTTGATGTCCTCGGTCAGCTCAAGCACTTGATCCAGCTTGTCGACGTTCCAGAGAATGACCAGAAGAGAGACTGTGTGGCATAACATCCCTGTCATCACAGTAATGACCGGAACCAGTTCCATTGAGCAAGACCACATGCCCAAAGAAGAGCAGTGATCGCCTGTTCGAATCACGTGGAGCACGACGACTGCCTGGGATACACTTGAAACCTGCTGAACTACTTGCATATGATCTGAAACTGAGTATATACTACCAGTGCAATTTCAAAGTAAGAAATAAATACCCAAAATCAAACCATGATGCCATGTGGAAGTGGAACAGGAGGAGGGCCACGCTACAGACAACACCGACGAGGACACTGACACACAAAGGCGAGTCAGTCAAATGTACGTATACCTGCAGCATTGGTCGCACAGGCATGTGCATCCAGACTGCCCTAGACTGAAAGGGTTCTAATCATGCTTTTCTTGAGATGAAGAGTGTAAAGCATGCACCGGCAATGAACGAGACACCTTGTTGGCCTGCTGCCTGTAGGGGTTCTCTTCCTGGGACGGAGTTCCGATGGTTACCTCTTCGTCCTCGGCATGGAGTGGCTCTCCGTGCACGAACGGCTGGATCTTCTCGAAGTAGTTCAGAACCAGCGACACAGGTCGCAGGAGGACCGCCTCTGGTTTGCTTCTCATGTCCTCCTCAGTCGGCTCCCGCAGTAGCTCTTTCAGCTTGTCGTCATGCGAAAAGGCGACTTGTGCGAGGTTTGATGTGAAAGATGTCTTGGACGTTCGTCGCTTCTTTCTGTATCCTCTGTAGACAGAGCTGCACCACGATTGAAGGCCCTGAGCGAGCTGCTGGTCCTGATCCAGCAGCGGCCGAGCCGCTTCTGGATCATGGGCCGTCTTCGTCCGAGGTAGCTGCAAGCTCCTGGCATGCTCGCTCTGTATCGTGAGGAGCTTCACCATGCTCGTCTGCTTCTGCTGCCTCAGTGTCTGAGTCAAGTCGTAGAAGACGGCCTCCTGGTTGAATGCCAGAACCAACTTCTCGAACTTCTTCATTGCCGGCTTGCGCAGATGGTGGAGATGGTTGGCCATCAGCTCAACAAGATTGTTGAATTCCTCCGGGCAGAACTGCTCGCATTTCTGGAGGATGTTGCGCATCTTGTGAATGTGGCCTCGCACCTGCTGCACGAGCTGAATCTCAAGCAGCTCGCATAGCCTCTTGGCCTGAGATGTTGCGTGGGTCAGGGCAACGCCGATCTGGCTGTTCATGTCGTCAATGCACTTCTTCCTGTCCTGCTTTAACCGATCAAGATTCTTGTCGAAGTGAACCAGTGCCATGACGGAGTGCCAAAACATCATCAACATCATCAAGCCGCCAAGGAACTTTACCGAACAGGTGTACTTGCCTGCACCCTCTTGGGTCCACGGCTTGTTCTCGAAGCATCGCAGCTCCACCACATCCAGGAGCCAGGTCAGCCCAAAAACTCCCGATATGACACTGCCGATGAAAAGCATAAGCCTGAGGAAGCTGAATTCCACAAGATGCTCCAAATGGCAGACACGAAGCCACCAATGCGCATCCGGCCATAACCTCTCAAAAAGGGACCCCATGGCGTCAATCTGCTGAGTGCTGCTACGCTGGTTGGATCAGTGTGGAGCTGTGTGCTATTGCGCTCGGGATGCGCCGCTGGTGCAACATGTGTATCCCAGATGCGGTTCAAGGCTCGCTTGCCTACTTTGCTACTCTAACTGGCTCGGGCCAGTCCGAGATTCACCGGGTCACTGAAGGATACCAGGCGGTGGCAAACAAAAGGAAAGCAAAAGGTCTTGTTTCCTGGAGAAGTGCGCGGAGCATTCGTAGTGTCCCGGTTGGGGTCCACGAGGCGGGTAATCGTTGTTTCGTACCGTATCCTCGTCCAGTCTTCCCACAACTTCTACACTTTGCGGGAGCGTCTAACAAAACTTGGCCACTGCATGTGATGAAGCAGTCGAACTGGCCTGATCATAAATTTCCAAACAAGGGATCACTACAACTGCACATGATTTTGCTGCACAACGAGAGCTTGCTTGTCCTGAAGCTAGTAGGGTTCTTTCTGAACCCATGATCCGAAGTCCCATTCTTGCGTGTCCGGATGAGGCTGCTATAGGCTGCTGGCGACCATAGCAACTATGGGTCGTTGCGACTTCGAGTTGTGCCTGCGATCATGGCTCCAAGTGTCAGGTTGCGGGGTGCGTGTCTAAGATTGGGGACATGTTGCACTGTGGCCAGTTCGAGTGTTTTTGGGCTGGCGCGCGCTGTTTGACGTCGTGCGGGTCACATCTGCGAGATTACCCGAACAAACAGAGGAGGGCGATACAAACTGACGAGTTCAGAATTCCAGCTCGGTATATGCTGTTGCGTGACGGGGGACTAGTCTACACCCATGATGTCAGGAACAATCTGTTCTTCCCAGTTGCCGTTGCGGAAGAGCTCCCCTGGCTTCATCCACTGCTTGCCTGCGCACGCAGACCGGGGCATGTCGAACACTTCTCAATGGATTGCGGTAGCATCCAGCGCGGCAACATGGCTCCACAATATCAAAGGAGGGACCTAAAGCAACTCGAATGTCGGCCTTCTTGCACAGCCCCAAATGGCGAACGACATGCTGAAGTGGAGCCGGGCTGCCGCGCCAACGATCTTGGCACAAGCTCTTCCAGGTGTCCTCGCAGACAAATTTTCGCAGGCGCTGGACATTCTCCTGAAGCGGCTACCAACTATGCCGAAGACGAGCGTCCAGCCCTGCTTTGCAGACGCGTATAGTGTCTGATGAGCGAGCCCTCGGGTGTACTTCCGAACTGGTAGCACTGAGGAGTGATGCATCGCATGAGCCCCAGTCATGCTTGAAGTTTGAAGGCTCGTGGAAACGAGCATTGAAATCATTGAACCCCCGCCGTGCTGGCATGCTTCGGGATATTGTATGCATGTTTCGTTTGGATGTCTGCAACCGTTCTCCAACATCACATGCAGATGCTTCGGTCGAGGTTTGCTGGGACCGTCTTCACTCTTTGTGTCCTGGGATGTCCGTACCCAGACTCGAACATGCAGCAGCACTAGAGAATTACTCTTGCGAAACAGACACCTGTCATCGGAACATGTCCCCCGACCTCATCGTTCGCCAAGGACTGGAGCTTGCATTGGGCTAAGCCGACCCGACACAGCTCAGCTGGAGAGAAGAAAGACAGCACCTGCCATGGGATCTCTGCCTATAGCCATGCGCCACTTCATGCAAAGAAGATCTCCCCCTGCAACAGTTTGCCAGCCTTTAACCATGTCTCGTCCAACAGCGGAGGCCTTAGCTCGTTCATGGCTGGTAAAGTGCGGTGCAAGTCAGGTCGATCTCGAGCGCAGGCTTCGCTATTGGCTCGTAAGTCCTGCACCCTTCGCTGGGCACCTGTGCTGGCGAAGTCGTCTTGGCCTCATCAGCCTCTGTCGTGATGCGAGGCCTGAATGCGCTCTTTCAGCATTCAAACAGTCTGCAGGCAACATTTAGCAGCTGAGGACCGGCAAGACACACGAACAAGCCCAGATTCGCACTTAAGATAGAAGATCCTTTCAAATCTCAATGCCAGGCTGGCAGGTGGAGGCGCAGAGTTGCTCTGAGCCAGCACGACTCGAGCTCCCTCTCCGCTAAAGTACTCAAAGACCCGACGAGCCTGTGGTCCTCGCTTGCTCTCTCGGCTTCCGAGTGAAGCAGCGGTGCTTGCACCCTCGCGGTGCTGAAACAGAAATTTTATACTGTAGCTTATTATAGTGTATTCTATTCTAGCCTGGTCGATTATACTATACTATACTATACTATACTATACTATACTATACTATATTATATTGTAATGTATGATATGACATTATATTATATCATACTATATCATATTATGCAATACTACACATTACCATACAGTACCCTGCTACACTACACGAAACTGTACTGTACCGTACTGTACCGTACTCTACTCTGCTATACTCTACTGTTTTCTGTCCCATATTATACTATATTGTATTACATTGTTTTGTTTTATCAACTTATATTTTGTTATACTATGCTATGTTATATTGTACCGTTCATTCTCAGCTCAGAACGTGTGAGTCCAAACAAATGCTGACAACATCGCGTGGCCACAGACTCTAGCCAGCAACGTGTACCGACTGTGCGCGATCCCTTTATATCCCTTTCCATAATATGCAGAGGGCACCAACCTCACAGCTGCTAGAGACCAGCCCTCAGAATTCAACCGTCCCTGTGGCACGCAGACTCGCAGCAACACCATGCAGCACAGGCCACACTTCTTTGCGACATGGATCATAAGGGATCTCCGAATCTGAACCGCAATGGCAACCTGAAGCCCTGCACCAAACCCCGAACTTCCGAACCCTGAGCATCGCTGAACCTTTCAACTCTTTGATCGGCTCCCTACCAATAGCACACCCTCGCATAGACTCCAAGACTAGGTTGTCCTAGTCCGTGGGATGCCTCGGACCCGGCGAGGTGCCAAGCCCAGACGGGCGGCCGCACGCCGCAGCAGTGGCCAAAGCCAAGCGAGCAGTGACATGAGATGGGAGGGGTAGGGAGGGTGTAAGGGGTTGGCGACCTAAGGCTTTAGCCCTACAGGCCCGAAACTACAAGCTTCTCCCGAATCTTAGCCACTGCCATGTCACTGTGGGCTTGTGGACTTTGCGAAGAGCAGACCGGCTTCCTGGTAATATAGTATCCTCTATTATAGTATAGTGTATTATGTGGTGTTGTAATAATATAACATGTTACATCGGTATCACATTATGTTATATAATTACAGTATACTGTTCTGCCGGGTACACCACAGCACCCGAGTGATAGATGGGCCTACTTTAGTTCCAGAAAAGTCTCTGAGAAAGCTACTGTGAGTTACAACTCGTTCCACTTTCCCCTGCCCAACGCAGCAACACTGACACTATGACCAACTGGCTTTATCACCAACATCCACTGTGAGAGAAGATGCATCACAAAAAACGATCCCCGGTGTAAAACAATGAAATGTCCATTCACTTGGCAGCGCAATGGAAAGTCTGGAAGGAACGGCATGGCAAGCCAGAATTCTCAACTGCCCAAGACTTCTTTTCGCGCTCTGCGGAAGGTCCCAAGCCACGGAAGGCTTCAGCTGCTGGCCCCTACGACATGTCAACACGTACTACAATTGATGCAACTATCGCCGCCTGGCATCTTTGTCCCGTCTTCTTGTTTCTACAGTCTACAGGGCACAGCCATGCAGCAGCCAATTGCAGCCGGGGCCGCGAAGACCCCGATTCTAAAACTCACGACAGGAAACGGTCACGGTTGACATATTCTAGTTGCCCGAAGCGGAACGAAGACAGCTCCGGTCACAGTCTGGCTCACTGCCTGGTGTTCGGAAAGCCAGGTGACTTTAGAAATGGATGCCGCAACCCCGAGGCCTAGATTCCTAGGAGACAGCTTGGGAAGGCGTTTCATTCATCGGCTTACTTGACAAGAATTGGCTTTGGCATTGTCGGATCAACCATCTTCCCGCATTGTGAGACGGTGAGTAACCTCAGGATCTACCACGGGCACTTCAGTTCTTCAGGCTGCTTGAGCACGCGGAGCGCGGGCCTGCGACAGTCTGGGCATCATGACGGGTGGAAACTGCAGCAGGAAAGTGCCCTCTGAAGTCCGCGAAGGCAACAAACTTTGGGATCAAATAACCTTGCGTAGTATAGCATATAATATATAGAATATCGTTTATCGTATAGTATAGAGCATAGAGTACGGAATGTAGAGTATATCGAAAGTCGCCTAGAGCATCAAGTGTACGGCAGATCGTACATACTACATAACATATAGTAAACATTGCAATGTGTGTGTGTGTGTTGACAGTCCTTGCCTTGGGGCTGTCGGTCATCCTTTGTGCTGGCGAGACCTCTTCGCCGCCTCTGCCTGCCACAGAGCTTGCACATTCTGCAGAAGCTGGAAATCAGAACAGATTGATCTTAAAAGACATGATGCTCTTCGAGCCAGGGGAGCAAGCAGGATTTCGAGAGTGGGCAGCGCAGTCACTACCAGCCTTCAGCGCATACTCCGGAAGACGTGTCCTGCCAGTGGCCATTACTCAGCAACACGGCGCTTCCCAAGCTGTTCCGCTTTGGATATTCTGTGCTACAGCAGCATCGGCTGCAACCTCTCCAACACAATGTCCGGACTCGCCCCGATCCTCTTGACTGTTTTCAGCTTGAGCTTGAACTCGGAGTTGTAGGTCTCCTGACGCAGCCAGTACTAGTAGAAGTGGACTTCGCCCTTGACTGATCCCTGCTGCGACGCCTTCTCTGCCCATGTGGAGACCACTTCGGCGAACTGATGAAGGGATGGCCTGGTGGTGATCGGCTGCTGTTCTTGTGCGTTCGCACTGAGGCTGTCTGCGCCCCCCACCTCAGGTCCACCGTCTGACCCACATAAGAACCCTGGTCGCCCAGGAAGGCCAGCTCAATGAACATGCCGCCTCGGCTTGCCCCCGTCTTAGGGATGCTTTGCCAAAGGGGAAAGCAGCTCTGAGGGCTTCGCAGCCCCATTCCCATTCAGTGTCGGCACTCCTGCCCAGCTGAGTTCTGATGAGCACAGCTTTGAGTTGGCGGGCGACACCCTGCCTCAGCTCGTACTGCTCAGGGTTCGGATGGATCATCATACCGGAAACTGCACCCTGAAAGGAACGACGACTTCGCACCGCAACTCGGCATTAACTTCAGGCCTCCAGGGTCTTGTGGAGAATGCGCAGCTTGCTCTCGACCCAGCCACAGAACCTTGTCATTCGGTGCTTACGGCCTGACCTCCGGACTTGCCCCTCCAAAGCTGAGGCCAAAGCTTGACATGTGCTTCTGCGCTCTTGGCGAGCACTTCCAAGCAGAGGTAATGCCTGGCAGAGGCTTCAGATTCTTGTCCAGCTGCTTATGCCAGCTTCTGTCCAGTTGACCAACTAAGCAGCCCTGTGAAATGCCAACACAGCAGACGATCTTACCAGCACGAGACCTGCAGAAATCACCAAGGCTTGTCTTCCAAAGTCGACGGGCTCACTTGAAGGGGTCGTTGCTGAAGAACGGGAAGGGGTTGTGAACTTCCTCCACCCAGGCACTCAATGCCCTTGACTCAAGGCTGCACTGACGTGAGAGAACAGAGGGATCTCGGCAGAATCTGCACTGACTGTGGCTCTGCCCCAGCCGCCAGCTCAAGGGGAAGCGATGCTGTCCTTCCAGTCAGCCTTGTTGTTTTCCACCTTTTTCACTACCTGGCTCAAAGATTAGAGTGCAGCAGCAGCTGCCAAGCAGCACGGATAGGATACGGATGGATTTCTCTCAGAGCGCCTCGTAGCCTCGCCGAAACTCGTCGAGGAGAATCCGCTTCGTGGTGTCTGTGACATTATGCCTGTGTGCTAGCCCAAACTTCTGAGGTGGGGCTGCCAGCATCAACCCACATGACTCGCTTGCACATACTGCCAACTTCGAACTCTCCCACCTTCAAGAGTGAGGCCTATCACATTGCCACCAGGTCTAGATCTGTCGCAGCCGGGTGGCGTGGAGTTCATTGCCGGAAAGGCCGGGGTGATGACTGGCATCAGGTGCTGCCTCGCTTTGGGCTATTTTGCATGACCCAGGATCGCCTTGCGGTCCATCTGGTGTCGGGGATCTGCTCCAAACTTGCAGCCAAAGTGCTTGTCGGCAAGGCTTGTCTTCGGATTCCAGGGCTGGCAGGGCTGCAAGATCTTGAAAATGAGCAGGAAGGGCTTGCTACATGGGATCGTGCATCCGGCCTTTTGGCCCACAATTCCGGCCACGCTCTCCACGATCTCACAAAGCCTGAGCGGCATTCGGCATCGGCTGGGCGGTTGTGAAGAGTTTGATTGCTAGATCCGAGGGTGGAGCACGACTGGCTTCGACCAATTCCACTGATCATAGGTTCGAAAAAACCTTGCAGCATGGACAAAAGGGCATCATAAGCGATGTCCGCTCCTGGCTGAGTGGTGGGCCGATTAACGAGCTGGCTGAAGCAGTAGTTTGGGTAAAGCTGACCTCAAATTGCTGCTAGATCCGTCTTACGAATCAAGACGGCGACGATGGTGACGAAGAACGACGTAACCAGAAGAAGAACGAGCAGGAGCAACAATCGATGTCGCAGCTGGTGATACCATGCCATGGCTGTGTGGGGATGAGAGCCAAGGAGGTCGGAGCTTTGAAATTCCCCCAAAACCTCCTGTGCACTCAGCTGCCTGGAGTTGAATCACCACCTTCCTCCATCACACATGCGTGTATGCAACGGCAAAACATGAAAATGTTTAATGCAATGTATGTAGGTAGGTAAGTATTAGGTGGGGATAGATGGGTGGATGGATAAATGAATGTGCTTGTATTAAACATATATATATATGTAGACATATGTGTGTATATATAGATGTATACACACGCATACATACGTGCAATTATTCACTAGCCTACAGTTTCCCTGCGATCCTAATTTCGTCTCTGGGGCTCTTGCAGCCTGCAGTTCCCCTGCAGTCCCTGCAGCCCTACGTGCGAGCTACCCTTGCCACTCCTAAACCTCCAATGCTCCTAGCATTACTACTAGTGTTGGTTGGCATTAGTGATTACGAGAAATGGTAATCAGTACTCGTGGCCATTGCTCCAAGCCCAAGCATAAATGTTGGCTGCACTGGTCCTACTCAAAACTAACACAATGCCCCCTGTCCCCTGGCAATGCTTTTGTTGTTTCACTTTGCGGGGTCTGATACTGCAAATTGGCGAATCCCCAACCACGCCCTTTTTCATATTAAGGGGTGTTGAACATGAGGGGGAAGCGAGTATAGTTTAGGGTTTAGGGTTTAGGGGTTAGGGTTTAGGGTTTAGGGTTTAGGGGTTAGGGTTATGGGGTTATAGGGTTTAGGGTTTAGGAGTCAAAAAAGAACCAATGCCTATCATTAGAATACTGGAGCTGAGTCAGCTACTCAATATTTCCAGTACATAGCCCAGGCAACTCACAAAATCGAAACACATAAATTTCGCAAGCAGTTTGAACTAGCTAACTACATTAACGATTATTCTTTCGCCAAATCATATAAGTCCTGCATGGGTTAACTCAAGTACGGGCCAGTTCAACTAATTGAATGATAAAAACGTATTCCACCGCGAGCGCACGAAGAATGAAAGAAACAACTACTCAGGCTTCACAGCAAGTAGACAATGTAATTCCCAAAATCAACTTACACGGACTGTGCAAGCATCTTGAGCTGGCCCAGATGTTTACATGATGATGATCTAGCTAAGGAAAGCTGCGCACACGTGTTGAATAGGCATGACGAAATAACTTATCTGCCATTTGAGGAGAAAGCCTAGTCAACAGCATTTAGATAGAACCATACGTGGGTTGATGCTCCTAGTTTGGCCTTGGCAAGGGGTAATACAGTTTAGTGCATGGACAAGATACCACTAGTTTGCCAAGTGACTGGGATCTTTGTCTAGAACTACAACTGCACAAAAGACTCCTTAACCGCATGAACGAAAATACAGCAACAAGCTTCGAAGGAAAAAAGGGAAATTTTCCCTTCACTCCTTCGCACATTGGCACAATGCACAGACCGATCTGCTGTGAATTTGCGAATCTGCCATTCGGCGAATCTGCGAATCGGAATCTGCGTGTTCCCGGAAAACCTACATCAATGACGTGTCTTAGTTCGGCGTTGAAGGCGCTCGAAGTTCCCATCCCCATCCTGCGCCCATCACCACTCCCATCCACCATCCATGCGCAATAGCAATAGTAATAGTAATTAATGAGAACAAAATACCACACAATAATTATCCCAGCATGCCACGAAGTTGACCTGCACAAGAGATGCCTGAGACGTGCTGTTTTTTGGGGCAGGGGTTAGCATAAAGATAGAAATATAGATATAGATGTAGAAATATAGATATGCACACACTATAGGTAGAAAGGTGTGTATCTGTAAATATTATAAATACGTATATACATGCCGATAGATATATATATATATACACACATATACATATATGTGTGTATGTATGTATGTATGTATGTATGTATGTATGTATGTACGCATGCATGTATGTATGTAAGGATGTATGGATGCATATGCATATGTACATGTACATGTACATGTATCTATGTGTATGTATATGTATGCATATATGTTTATAGGTTTATAGGTTTATAGGTGTATAGATATGTAGGTGCGGTTGTTTATATTCATACAGAGATACAGATACATAGATCTATAGGTGTATAGAGATATAGATATAAAGATATACAGATGTAGGGATATATGCATATGTAGATGTGCAGATATGTAGGTACGTGTATGTATATATATATATGTGTGTATATATATATATGTATGTATGTATGTATGTATGTATGTATGTACCTATCTATATATATATATATTTATATATGTATGTATGTATGTATGTATGTATAGATATACATTTGACTGTATTTGTATAATACTACATCTGTATACATACACCACCAGTCCTAGACATACATATACATCTACATCTACATCTACATCTACTGCATCTACATCTACATCTACATATACATCTACATATATATATACATATAACATATACATATACATATACATATACATATACATATACATATACATATACATGTACATATACATACACATATACACATATATGTAGATGTGTGTGTGTGGCTATATACTTATATATATATATACTGATTTATTTATATACATTGAAACATGTGTGTATATATATATAAACATATGTATATATATATACACATATGTATGTGTATGTGTGTATATGCATATATATATTTATATTTATATTTATATGTATATTTATATTTATATTTATATTTATATTTATATTTATATTTATATTTATATTTATATTTATATTTATATTATATTTATTTATTCCCCAAACAGCGAAGT